TTGTAAAAAAAAAAAAAAAAAAAAAAAATTACTATAATAATTTAAGGTCAACATTATAATGTGCATCAGCCAAGGCTTCCACATTTGCATCTCTGTTAACAGATGAAGGGGCCTTATTGTTCATTTGTCCCACTCATTAAAACTGTATGGAGGTTGTAAAGTAAAAGGACACAAGGGCAACTAATGTGACATTTTATTGTGGCAACGTTTTGCTCTCCAGGAGCTTTATCAAGCCGTAACAGCTTGATAAAGCTCCTGGAGAGCAAAAAGTTGCCACAATTAAATGTCACATTAGTTGCACTTGTGTCCTTTTACTTTACATATTGTCAGTAATTCTACCAACATTATTACAATCTGTATGGAGGTTATAGTGAGGGGGTTAGTGGTTGGGGTGTGCATGGAAAGGGCTAGAATGGTTGGGGTAGGGGGGTTTAGGGGACTACATGGTAGATGGAGACAAAGCATTGGGGGGTCAGGGGGATGGTGGTGGGGGGGGTGGAAGCTGGAAACAAGGTGATGTGGGTGACAGTGTTGGTGGACTGATGTGGGTGGTGGTGTGGATGATGGGTGACTTAAGTGGGTAAATGTAGGGTTGGTGGTATAGGCAATATTGAAGACAGTGGGTGACTTAAGTGATTAGGTGTGTGAACGGCATGTTAGGGTCTAAGGCCAAGTAAGACGTGGGAGTGAGATCATCAGGAAATGGTGTGGTTAAGGGCATGGGGCTGAGCAATATGTGGTCTTAAGGTAATGGGGGAATGTTGTAGGCGAAAATATGGCCGTGAGGGGGAATTGCACAAGTGGGTTGTGTGGAGGTTGCTGATTGGGATGGTGTGGGTGAAGGTATGTGGCCATGGAAGAGTTGTGTGGGTAGAGGTTAATGGGTGTGCAGCAGGGATTGGGTTGAGACAAGCGGTATGACTGAGGCATGTGGCTGAGGTACGATATTGGAAATGTGTGAATGGAGCACTGAGGGGAAGGAGGTTGCATACATTAAGTAGGCCTCCCTCCCATATGTTCAGTGTGAGATGAAGAATAAAGAACCTAACACCTGCCACATTTTTCCCTGCCTGATACTTGAAGGACATTTCCAAGGGTGATAGACCAGATCCCCACTGTGTAAACAGATTAATTTGGTATGTTTACCAAAAAATATGCTGCAGTTTTGCAACTGTGCCAAAGTAAAAATGGGTTAATAGATCATGTGTTAACTGACAATCTATTGTATAACATTGGTACTAGCAGTAATAATTAGTTTGTATATCACCAGCCATATGATGAGAGGTTTACTACTTTCAGCTCTAAAATTTGATATTTACATTTTCCTCTATAACTTATGAAATGCCTCAGTGGGAAACAGCCAATTTGTTGAGAGAAGAACTTGTGAAAGAGAGTCTAATTTTGGATGCTAAAAATATTATTTTGAGCTTAACCTCTTGACTGTCGCAACCCCAAGTTCTGAGGTGTCTCCTGGTGTCGCAAAATTTCCAAATAAAACAAAAATTATTTTTTCTTATGAAATGATAGAGAATCTTTTCCTGATTACAATGACATCAAAAGAATGAAATTTGATGGAAAACTGACGGAATTACGCTCTCGCAAAGTTAGCTACCTCGACAATATTTACAAATCGGTGATTTCACCCACTTTCAGTCCTATTTTCGGCTAATTCCGTTGTTCCAGTTGACCAAACTCATAGCTATTTCTTTAGAACTCCATTTTTTTCTATCGAATGAGTACAAGAAACTGCCCATTTACCGATTTTGACTACCCAATAACATGGTCAGAAATTTGCAATTTGGCCAGTTTCACAAAAATTAAAAAATTACAATTTCAAAATAGGGTCCAGAATGAACAATGCAGACATTCCTGGCTATAAAATAACATTTTCTTTGTTCATCAGTCATGTCTCCAGGCCCCTCTGATATTGCTCATGCTTTCTATTTGGAATTTTTATTCAAACAAAAAATAGAAGATTTACTGTTATGCAGACTACTGCAATATTGTAATAATTGTATAAATAATGTCAACCCATTCATGACTGCATATTAGAATGGCTACTTGGACATTTATTGGAAAATGACATCATTTGTTTTACTTTTGAACATCAGCAAAAATCAAACATTTCCCCTACTTTGAGCTCCATTTCAAGGTTTTTTTTCTAGTAAAAACCAATCAAAAATCACCTCTTTTTCTAATATGCTTTCCATTCTATCAAATGAGACCAGAAAATGAGAATACAACCATAAATACTATACGAATGGGCCCCACAAAGTGTCATTTTAATTAAAAAAGTCGTTTTTTTTCTTCGTTATGCACTGCATGCTGCAGGATTTTTTTTATGTGGTGCCCCCTGACCACACAGACCCATTCTCTCACATGTGGGCCTACAGCTTTCTCCTGCTTGATTTGAAGTTGCTAGATTTGAGTAATTTTTACGTCAAAAACGGTGGCCCTTTGTAAGATGTATATATACGACCAAAACAGTCAAAGGGTTAAAGAACCTAGGTTAGGTTTTTCATCTAACTAGTGAGTTTTAAAGGTGGACAGAAAAACCCAGTGTTACACTAGAGCACAGATCACCAACCATAAAACATGTCCCATAAATATTTTTAGATCACCAGCCTTAAAGCATTATCTTCCCTAATTAAGCGTTTATGTTAGAAACTACGCAGTCATATTCATTAGCCATGAGCAAAGCATAGGTCCCTCTTGTATTGAAGCTTGGAACCAGGAGAAAATAAAAATAAAATAATAAATTCAATTCATATTAGAGAAAACCATTCCTCAGTGTAATCCATAGGAATCTATATAGTATACGTGCAGGGAAATTTTTAACCTTTTCACTGTTTCCCATGTTAAATGTTTTTGGGGCCCAAAATGATTCCCTTATATCTAGCTATATATATTTTCATCACAGCACCCTCAGATATGCTGTGATGGTAAATTTGGCCAAGACATGAGAGAATCGATCTGTGCGTGGGTGTACACAGTCAGTGGACCTCCGCCATCGGTGGCATCAAGTACAGCAATTAGTTTTAACAGCGCTCTTTGGCGTAAAAAAAAAATGGCTTTACCAACGGTGAAAAACTCGTTAACGGTGTTCGGCCTGAGCGGGCCCAGCCACTCCAAGACTCAGTGTGCCATTGTTTACAAGCATTGTGGTCGATTCAACGTGTACCTGTGATATATTTTGTATTTATTCCAGTGTTTTAAGTGCTTGTAACTGCTAAATAAGCCACCATGGGCCCCAAGAAGCTTCTAGTGCCAAGCCTGTGGTAAAAAGGGTGGGGAAATTATGATGGAAATTAAAGAAAGAGATCGTTGAAAAATACGAAAGCGGAGTGCGTATGTCCGAGTTGGAAAGGCTGTCCCAAAAAACCCCATTCAACCATCAGTACTATCTTGGCCCTGCAAGAGCCTAGGTGCAACAGCAAACAGATCCCCATCTCAGGAATTCTTCATGAGCAGGAGGAAAAAGAGACGGAGGAAAATGACATCGTAAGGATTAGGGAAATGTGTACAATGTTTACAAAGGTGCAAGCATTTATCGATGAATTTTATCCTGTCACAGCTGTTGCAGCCGTATTGGCAACATATACTACGACACTCTTGTGTTACACAAATAACCCGAACATAAAAGAGAGAAGCTTACAGCGACGTTTCGGTCCGATTTGGGGCCCGAAGGCAAAGGGGACCATTGACTTTGTCAATGGTCCAAGTCGGACCGAAACGTCGTCGTAAGCTTCTCTTTTTATGTGCGGGTTATTTGTGTTTTCGTTCGCCCACGGTATTGTGCTTTTTTGTTATTTACACTCTTGTGTCTCATTTTAGGGAAATCCTAAAGAAAACGTGAGAACAGAGCTCTTGGTCAGATTTTTGGTCCCGACAGGGGTCCAGTGACACTCAAGCTGGTCCTAGGGCATTAAACAACCAAGAAAGGGTGAACCCCACCAAAGGACTTAGTACCTGAAGTCTTTATGGAAGGGGATTCCCCTTCCAAACAATATAACACCTGCATCATTGCCCTCCTACCATCTCATCATTCAACAATCCCACAATAAAGGTAAGTAGCATTTAATTGTTTTATTTTAATGCCCCATTCGTTTTTGTGTAGGGAAAATTTATATTTCTGTAAAAAAAATTGTTTTGCTTAATACTTTTGGGTGTCTGGAAGGGAAATTAATTCCATTTCCTATTTCTTATGGGGAAAATTAATTCGACTTTACGGCTAGCTCTCTGGAGGATTAATGCCGTTGGTCAAGAGTCCACTGTATACAGTGGACCCCGGTTAACGATTTTTTTTCACTCCAGAAGTATGTTCAGGTGCCAAGTACTGACCGAATTTGTTCCAATAAGAAATATTGTGAAGTAGATTAGTCCATTTCAGACCCCAAACATACACGTACAACGCACTTACATAAATACACTTACATAATGGTCACATTCGGAGGTAATCGTTATGCGGGGGGTCCACTTATATAAAAAATCCTGCTTCACAGTGCATAGTGGGAACAGCTACCTCTGACCTTAAGTGTGTTAACCCTTTCAGGGCCCAAAGGCCCAAAAATTCTGAAGTCACGCACCGTGTCCAAGAAATTTTGAAAAAAAAAAAAAAAATTATTTTTTCTTACAGAATTAAGGCATATATATATATACTTACATCTAGGTTTTTCTCCTTTTTCTAAATAGCTC